ATAACGAAGACATAACAAATACGCCTGAGCCAGTTATACCTAGTCTCCAATTCTCTCCATCAGAAAGCACCAGATCATTTAATCTGACAGAATTATTTTGAATGAATACCATTCTAAGAGGTCAACAACTTTGCTTTTAGCAAGATGACTATGGTACTGACTTCTATCATATAACTGTTTTAATTCCCATTCACTTTACAGGTATGAATGAATTTACAAACAGCCATCATAGTTTGGTTATTTTTTAGTTCCAACAGCAAAAGTATAGGAATGATGCTGCTTTGTACACATAAACCACACTCTAACTAAATGTTATCATTTTTGTGGTTTATTTACAAGCTTAATGATAAAGACTAAAACAAACTTTCTCCCTTATATGCTCCCAATATGTCAAATGTAAATGTTTAATTAACTAAGTGGGGACCCCCAAGGACAGGTAGATTTGAGACAAGTAAGGATGACTAGCTTCAATGACATCTTATTAGTCAGACATTTACAAGTCACTTTCTATCTGCCTTTGTCTCTACCATTAGAGTCATGCGCTTTCACTAGCAATCAAGAATTTAATTGCTTCTGCAGGTCTCTTCCACTTGTAAAGTTTAAGATCCTGCTTGTTCTAATTTCTTTCTACAATAAAAAGTTCTTGTTCATCCCACATTAGACAATCACTCCCAAATCACTAGAATGTGCCTGATGTATCTTGTGGTAAGTCCATCTTCATTTTGTCATATATGCCAAGACAAAAACAAATTATTTCCATGTAGTTTGCATGACACAGCATGACACTCACCCATTTTTTTAAATTAAAATCAAGATATGATTAATTATAACAGATTAAGAGACTAATAAATCATATTGAAACCATGACACCAAAGATAAATTTTCCATGGTGTGACATCAGTTAAGGCTTTTAAAAGTTAGTAAGTCCCAGTCTTTTAAATCAATCCTGGTAGAAATTTATGTTTTCTAAGCTGTTTTGTTTTCCCTATGTTGATTAATTTCTAAATCAATTAGATTTGACAAAAGTGGTGTTAAGGACTCACCTTTAGTAGCTTCTCTGTTCCTTAAATGAGGAGGGATATAGCGCCCTTCTGAAAGAACACACAATTAGTACAAATGCCAAATAGTTTCACAGTAAAGCTTTCATCAAAATCCCTTAAAAAAAAGTGTAAAACACTAAAAAAATCTAATGGGTTGGTGAACAAGATTTGATTTTAAACCAGGCATATGCCTATAATCCTAGCCAAGGCAAGGCAGGAAGATCACCTCTAGTTCAAGGCCAGTCTAGCTACATAAACTTTTGTCTCCAAAAGTCATTTTAAAGCTAGTAGTTGACTGGGTGTGGTGGTACACGCCTTTAATCCCAGCAGAGGCCGGCAGATCTATGAATGAGACCAGCCTGGTCCACATAGAATACCAGGATAGCCTTTGTAGAGACCCTGTGTCAAAACAAGAGGGGCAACCACCTAGTAGTTAACTGGCTACTAGCAGCTTTTTAGCCTAATTTTCTTTGTACTTCTGGATTAAATAGTTGAAAAATTTGTTAGGATGATTAAAAATTCTCAATGTGGCAAAAAAACATGAAATTTTAAACAAGTAGCAAGGTAAACCTGCATATTGCTTAAAAATACATATATATAACATTGCTTACTGGATGGAAAGAAACGTAAGCTGAAAGGATCTGGGATATAAACCACAGAAGTCTACCTCAATAATTAACCTAATTAAAAGTATATATACTAACAGTACATATGTACATGTAAATATCACAGGGCACCTCTGTACATACATGCATAAAATTTGTTTACTGTGCCAACTAAAAATATTCTTTTTGGCACATAGGGCCTTACATATGCTATTCAAGAATGAACTTGATCACTGACCTATATATCTTATAACTTCTAGCCAGTGAAAACACATTGTAACAGCGTTCATATTTTAACATCCAAGAAAATATTAAAATTACCAAGTTCTGATATTCAATATATCCATAAAATGTTTTACTTACTGCTTGCTGTACTTCCTCCAGTCTGATTATCTGAAGAGTTCAGGTCTAGGCCAGCAAACTACAAGAAAATCAGATTGCTTTTAGTCTTCATGTTTAATGAAATAAAGCCAATTTGTGCCTTCTACACCATTTTCTAATCCCACATTCAAAGTTGCCCCATGGAGTCCAGATATTGAAAATTGAGAATGTGACCAAAAAAGCACTGTTTTTTCCATAGTAAAAGCTCCTTATTCGACAAACTAAAACTTAGTTACAACGAATCTCAAAATTTAGCCAGGCATGGTGGTATGCACCTGTGATCCCAGCATTCTTAAGTGGCTAAAACATGGATATGGAACTGAAGTTCCCAGATCACTGCTCCCTTGTGGCCCCCATGGTGCAACATATAGACAGGCAGACTCACACACACACAAAATAATTTTTTTCTAAGTTTGAGGTCAGGCAGACCAAAAAATGGTTTTAAAGCATGAAATAGGTGCTCAAAATATAGTTCAGTTGGTAGGGTACTCGATCCAATTGATGTATGAAGCCCTGAGTTTTAATCCCTAGAATCACATAAACCAAGTGTGATGGTTCATGCCTATAGTCCCAGTATCAGAAGTGGAGGCAGTTAGATCAGGACTTCAAAGCCATTCTCAGCAATATAGGGACTTTCCAGGCCACCCTGGGCTACATCAGACCCTGCTTATTTAAAAAAAAAAAAAACACGTTAAATGAGTATAGGATGTTTTAGTCACGACACCACTAACTTTCTATTTATTACTTTAAGCCTGAAAGCACATACAAAGACAAATTCCAAATATATTCTTTAGTTCCTTTATTCTCAAATACAGCAAATATATTAAATTGGAATAGCACTGCATAAAACAAAATTTTGGTAATACCCTCACCAAAACACTGTTGGAGTGAAACTGAATTCCTATTCTGCCATTTAACTGTAAGTTCACAGAACTAGTCATGAATAGTCTTTGATGTTCTTACTAAAGAACATTTTACTGGCTTCAACGTTCCAAGTCTACTCATACTTGTAAGTCAAAGGCATCAAGATTCTACAAAAATGCTGCAAGCTGTCTTCGTGGGCCTTTTAAAAATTTGCTTATATGTATATGTGTGTGCCTGACAGAGCTCTCGAGTGGGGTGAACATCTCACTATGTAGCCTTGGCTAACCTCAAACACTATGTAAAACAGGCTGTCTTGAACTCAAGAAATCCTGCCTATGCTGGGTCATTGGGCTTGGTGACAGTCCTCTTTACCTGCTGAACCCTACTGTCAATGTAACTAATCCACTTAGGAGCATAAACCACAAATGAAAAGGAACCCGACCCCCCCCCCAAAAAAAGCCATGAAACATGAAAGACTGAACTGGTATATTTTTATTACATGTTCATAAATAGTAGCTAACAGTATCACTGCAGTCACTGAAAGTTGAATTTAGATGTAACCTCATTGCTATTAGCAAAAATGTCACGTTTTGTCCTAGTAGTTATCATTTAAAGCTACACTTACTACCATTCCAGGTGTTTAAATTATTTGGCAACATTGAAGTTAAAAATGCACTATTGGTACTGTCACGAACTTAGAAGTTGAATGACCGGAAATTCCTAAATTTTCAGTTAAATCCATTACAAATTCATGAAAGGCTCTTGGGAATATAATCAGTGCTAAAACTGGGGAGAGCCTCTGCCCTTGACACCAGGCAGCACTCGTCCTTTCTTTTTAATGTAGCACCAATAAGTAATGTTACAGTGTTACACTAGTGAAGATGCATTGTAGCGGCTCACTGGCCCGAGGCTAGGAGGCAACGACAGATGGACGGATCACGGATGGATCGCACATCTCTTCTGCCTCACCTAGAAAAGGAATCTCGATTAAAGGAATCAGACACCAGGCTTGATCTACATCCCCGTTTTACTTCAACGGCGGCAACAAGTCAACAACAAAACTGTTGCCATAGTCTGGGCATTTTGCCTCTAGACGGATTACAATTGGGCGCGCAATCCTTCCCGGCGCCCAGGAACAAGCCGGCGTGCCGAGTTCGGGGCTCCGTGGTCGGATCCTCGCCGAAGGCTAAGGGCCGCGCCGGGTGGCTCGCGTCACCGCCGAGCCCGGCGCCAGTGCGCACGCAGCGGCCACGGCCTCCTTCCCCCCTCCTCCCCCCCCCCGCCCAATCCGCCCTGAAATTTCTGCGTCACAAAACTTTCCACTCGGGAACCGCGGCTTCCCATGCCGCGACGCACCGGTCCCGCGGTGGCGGAGAAACCGGGATGAAATGCGCGCGAGCCCGGTGGCGGGCAGGCGGGGTTGGGGGGGGGGGAGCCGGGGGTTGCATGGCTCAGCCAGCCTGCGCCACACAAAGGAGGCTGCCGCCATGAGCCCGCGCACAGGCAAGCCCCCTCCCCCGCGGGGCGCCCCCTCCCCCCGCGGGGCGCCCCCTCCCACATTCCAGCGCTGCGCGGCCACTCTGCTAACCCGCGTTTGGCCGCCGCTGCCTCCTCCCGGGCTTAAGAAGAAGCACGAGCACGGAAGCCATGGAAGTGGAAACCCCCAGAAATCCGGGGTCAAGAACTACCCACCTCTGGCAGCGTTGCGCCACGCCGCGCAATCCCCTCCCCCCCCACCCCCTGCCGGTCACTAATCAACCAGGGTGAGCGCGCGCGCGCGCCCGCAAGAGCGCGCCCCTCCCCCTCCGCTCGCCTGCGCACACACAAAAGCCGCCATTGTGCTCGGGCCGGGGACAATACCTGAAAGCGAGCCGGGCTGGCGGGGCAGCCGGCACTAGCACTCCCCGCAACCACCCAGTCCCTCCACGGCCCCCAGACAGTGATACCCGCAGGCCCGAGCCCCCAGGAAAACGGGAAGGACAAAACAGAACTTAGAGCTGCGCCACAAAGCAGGTCAGGGGGAGAGATTAAAGCAGGAGCACCGCAGCTCACCTGCTGGTCCAGCCCGAGCGCATTTTCCACTGCCACATGACTCATCCCTGAAGAGTACCGAAAATTCGGAGTCTTCCGCTGCTGAGCAAGAGCTGGCTCTACCGCAATGGCCCTCTCACGGGAGAACTGCGGCTTTGAAGCGCACCGCGCGGCCACCGACCGTATATACCAAGTCGGAGGACTGCTACGTCATCACGTAAGACGTATGCCCTCCTCTCAGGAGGTTGTTCCCTGCCGCTAGGATTTCTGCCTAGCTACTGCGCCTTCCTCGGGTTGTTCTCGTGAGACTTCCTATTCAGTCCAGCCACCCCTTCGTTGTGCGGACATAGAGAACCCCGCATTAAATGCTGCTTTGGTTCTCTTGGGTTTGGATTCCCCTGCTCCTGTTAATACCCTAATCTTAATGTTTTCTCGAGATCTCGCGAGAAATCCTCTCCGTCCGTCCTCTAGCAATGAGGCCGGCCCTGAGACTTAAACTGGGCCTATGTGCTGCGTCTTCCCTCCCCCGTGCACCCAGTTTTCATCTTTCTTTCTAGCACTCTCCCTTTTCTCTCAGTCCCCGGCCTTGAAAATGATGTACTAGGAGTCTTTGTCTGGCCTGATGCGCCTCCGCTCTTGGCCGGTGCATCTTTTCCGTATAGCAGACAAAATGAGGACCGGCACGGGGGGGTGGGAGGGGGAGAGGGGGGAGTCACGTGATCGTGGGTGTCCGGCGCGGTGGCCATTTTGTGAAGAAGGGAAACTGGTTTGAATAGTGCTGGGAACGGGAGGGAGGGGTGAGAAGACTAGAGGGGGAGGGGAGGAGGGAAGGGGAAAGGAAGCTGGATTAGGAAAGGAAAAAAGGCTGGATGGTGCGGCCTGAGCAGGGAGTGTAAGGGACGTGCCTGCCTGTGGCTGCAGGCTTCATAGCGCCGTTGCCTAGGTAGCGGGTACGCCACCCACACACACCCGCTTAAGAAGGAACAATGAGACTATCTCACGCGAATCTAGAGCCGGCAGTCTGGGACCCTCCCAGGACTCAGCCTCCGCGAGTGTGCGCATTATTGCGGGGCCCTGTGTTCTTCCGCGCGCCACTCCTGGCTCCGGGCCTTTGATTGATGGCGCAGCAAGGGACTCCGCAGGTTTCCAACAACTTTCCTAGGACCCCGAGGAGTCGAGTGTGTGTGACTGGGCACAATCTGTACCTGCTGGAGGAGCTGGGATGGGGGATCACCTGCCTGAGGTGATCCCCCGCCCCAGGCTACTACAGTGGACAGGGAATAGGAAGAAAAGGGGATGTATCATTCGATGGCCTCTTCTGATAGACCCCCCCTCTCCTAGGCGGAGCACGCGCAGTCTCAGCTTCAAAAACACAAACCCTTAAACAACAAAACCAAAAAATAGTCCATTCCGTCAATGGCCACACATACAATCCCCAGGCAAGTTGCTTTCTGGCTTTGGTTCTCAATTTTTCTCACCTATAAGAGAGTCCACTAGAGTACAAATCCCTGTTGTTCTTACTGTTTTAAAGATACTCATTATGTAACAATTGGGGGAGGTTTCTTTTGTTCTTATTGAGGTTGCAGTCGCAATATGTTATACTTACAACAGATGCTTTGTTTTGTTTCTTAGTAAACCAATGAGTTTATTGGGTTTACTTAGTGAAGCTGCAACTTTTTGTTTTGTTTTGTTTTGTTTTACCAGACAGGGTTTCTCTCTATTGTTTCGGAAGCTGTCGGTCCAACCCGGCCTCGAACTCAGAGAGATCCGCCTGCCTCTGCCTCCCGAGTGCTGGGATTAAAGGCGTGCACCACCACCGCCCGGCGAAGCTGCAACTTTTTTAACACTTATTTTTTTGTTTGTTTGGTTGCTTGGTTTTGGGTTTTAGAAACAGTTTCTCGTCAGGCAGATCTCTGTGACTTGGAGGCCACCCTGGTCTATAGAACGAGTTCCAGGACAGACTAAAGCTACACAGAGAAACCCTGACTGGAAAAGCAAAAACAAACTAAATAACCAATATAGTTAAGTTATATATTAAGAGGCAGAGAGAGCTGGGCGTTGGTGGCGACCGCCTTTAATCCCAGCACTCGGGAGGCAGAGGCAGGCGGATCTCTGTGAGTTCGAGGCCAGCCTGGTCTACAAAGTGAGTTCCAGGACAGCCTCCAAAGCCACAGAGAAACCCTGTCTCGAAAAACCAAAAAAAAAAAAAAAAAAAAAGGCAGAGAGATGGTTCAAGGGTTAAGTGCAGACCTTCCATTCCTACCACTTAGGTCAGGTGATTCACAGCCCTTACAACTCCAGCTCCAGGATTCTGATGCCTTCTGGCCTCCAGGGTACCCCCGCATGACCAGGCATATGCAGAATTTAAATTACATAGTAAAATATGCAAAACCAGGGGTGTACTGGAAAGATGGCTCAAAGGTTAAGAGAACCGGCTGCTCTTGCAGAGAACCTGGGTTCCATTTCCAGCACCCACGTGGTGGCTCACAAGCACCCGTAACTCCAGTCCCAGGAGATACACGGCCCTTTTCTGACCTCCTCAGACGGCAGGCATGCACACATAGTAGTCATTCATGCAGGAAAACACTCATAATTTTTTCATTGAAAGCCGGTTGTGGTGATGCATGCCTTTAATCCCACACTCAAGAGGCAGAGGCAGGGAGATATCTGTGAGTTCAAATCCAGCCTGGTCTATGTAGTCAGACCTGGACTCAAAAAAATAAAGTAAAATAAATAGATTTGGTACTGGAGAGATGACTCAGCAGTTGAGAGCACTTAACTGCTCTTGCAGAGGACCCAACTTGGGATCCCAGAAGTGACATCCTACTGCTCACAACTGTGTATAACTTTATTTACACAGGATTCAGTGCTTTCTTCTGGCTTCCAAGAGCACAGCATGAATGTAGTATATATACAGACAAGGCACACACATATACATAAATGAAAATTAAATATATTCGATATGTAAATTCTCCCCAACTACTGTGCGGCTTACATATGCAAACTAGACGAGTGTGTTGCTTCCACTATTGAGGTACCATGAACAGCTTGCTGTCCGTGGCATTTTCTCTTTTTTTTTTTTTTTTTTTTTTTGGTTTTTCGAAACAGGGTTTCTCTATTGTTTTGGAGGCTGTCCTGGAACTCGCTCTGTAGACCAGGCTGGCCTTGAACTCACAGAGATCCGCCTGCCTCTGCCTCCCGAGTGCTGGGATTAAAGGCGTGCGCCACCAATGCCCGGCGGCATTTTCTCAAATAGCGAGCTCTTAGTAATATTCTAAACAAAACAGCACCATCTTCCTTCAATTAATGACGTCAGCTGCAGTGAACAACAGTTTGGTGTATATGGAAACAGCACTTAGATGATGATGTAGGTTTGCATCTACATGGGTATCCATTGGCTCAATTCTCTCTTGTATGGGACTGATTAGCTTCTAGCATGTCTGGCTCTGCTGACTACATACCGGGAGCCCTTGCCAGTGGTTTCATCAACCCCAAAATACACACATTTCCACAGTGCCTCTTTTAAAACCATTAGGCTTAGTGATTCCTATGGTCCTGTGGTGATCTGAATGAGAATGGCCCCCATAGCCTCATATGTTTTAACACTTGGTCCCCAGTTGCTAGAACCGTTTGGGAAGGATTAGGAGGTGTGGCCTTGTTGGGGAGGTGTGTCACTGGCAGTGGCCTTAGAGGTTTCCTTATTTCCAGTCTCTCTCTGTCTCTCTCTGTCTGTCTGTCTCTCTGTCTGTCTGTTTCTCTCTCTCTCTCTCTCTCTCTCTCTCTCTCTCTCTCTCTCTCTCTCTCTCCCTCTCTCTCTCTGCCTTCTGCCTGTGGTTCAAGATGTAAGCTGTCAGCCTTCCCTGCCACCATGCCTCTGCTCTGCCATCGTGTACTCTAACCCTCTGAAGGCATAAGCCCAGTTATAAATGCTTTCTTTCATAAGTTGCCTTGGCCATGGTGTTTTATCACAGCAATAGAAAGAAACTCAAATGGGTCACTCACTTTCTGCTATGAGATTGGATGATTCACAGAACACATTACTGAGGTTTGTTCTAAGTTTTGCTTTCAATTCCTTTCCACATAAATCTAGACAAATAGGAGTCCACTATTCAAAAGCTGTAAATTCTGGGAGCTACTCATGCTGCATGTAACACAGGGAGATTGGCTAACCTGCTTCTGGGCTTTGTTTTACTTGTGTAGAATACACGTACCGGGCACTGCCATGGAACCCCCCCCCCATCAAATATACAGCCGTTTCCTATTTTCAATTAGCCCTGACTCAGAGGAATACTTAGTTCAAACTACTAGGGGGTTATTAATAAGTTATTATTGGAGCATCAAATGTACAGGAAATGGGGTGCTGGAGAAATGACTTAGTGGTTAAGAGCATGTGCTAGAAAGGATGAAAGACAGATTTCCAGCCCCCACCTCAGGCTGCTCCCAACCTCCAGTAACTGCAGCCCCAGAGTGGATCCCATGGCTTGTTCTGGCCTCTGTAGGCACCTACATGAATGTGCACAGAAACATACATGCACACATAAATAAAATCTATTTTAGATGTACAAGAAATGGGGAAACACAAAGATTTGTCTTCAAACATATTCACTCTGAAAAGGAGTGGCATGCAGGCTTACAGCAGCTAAATTTAGGGCCTTTCCCTGCCCCAAATGACCATCCCATTAAGGAGTGATTTACAAAGTGTTACTGTCAGTAGCTATCAATAGTGTTCTATTGCTATAGAGAGACACCATGACCACAGCAACTTTTATAAAGGAAAACATTTCATTGGGCCTGGCTTACAGAGGTTTAGTCCATTATCATCGTGGCAGGAACCATGACAGCATGCAGGCAGACTCGGTGATGGAGAAGGAGCTGAGAGTTGTACATCTTGGCCTGCAGGCAGCAAGAAGAGTACTGGGCCTGGCCTGGGCTTTGAACCCTCAAAGCGCAGCCCCAGTGACACACGTCTTCCAACAAGGCCACACCTCCTAATCCTTCTAGTCCTATCAAGTTGTTCCACCCCCTGTCACTAAACATTCAAATATATGAGCCTCTGGGGCCATTCTTATTCAAACCGCCACAATAACCTAAAAAGGGCCAAAAATTACTGACACCAGAGACTTTTCCTACTCACTTTCCTACCTTCACAGGTATTTTAAGCTAACAGCCTTTATTGAAGCAAACATTATCTGCACCACACCCCCAGAAACCAAGACC